AGAACAATGAGGGCAATGAATGTACAAATGTGCTTTACACAATTGATGCATGTATGGACTGTGATAAGAGTTCTATGAGCCCCTAATAAAATGATTTAAGAAAAAGAAGAAAAAAAATCACCAGTATTAGCCTAAACTGCAAAAGAAGTGCCGTCCATGTGTAGACTCGGTGGCTACAGCAAATGGGCAAGAGCCTTGGTCACAAGTACATCACTTCCTTTTTGTCCCGACCGCTAACAGTACCAAAGAGAGGCAGGAAACAAGCCAGAGATCTCTGCTGGAAAAGTACAGTGTGCACAGGAGACTTGCAGAACCAGCAGGGACTCGTAGCTGAGACAGAGAACACGCTTGGAAGCCTGGTCAAATAAGAAACCAGGCTCCTCATCCAATAAAACTATGCACCAGCAAGACCATTCTAGCCTATGCAGGGATCCTGGGAGAAGAGGATCAGAAAGACTGACCCTCAAGTTCTCCGTGGAAGGTACCCAAGTGTGGAACGCAGAATCAAAGGAAAAGCGAGAGACACAGAAGTAATGTACCAATCAGAACGGAGGCCCAATCCCATATACGTTTACCTTCCTTCCCTTTCTCTGATTTGTCAATAACAAGGACCGCTCTACCTTACTGACTGACTACTGATGGTCACGGTAGGAGTCTCACTTCCATGCAGTAGGCCCACACTTGGTTCCTGGCCAGTCCACCGCATGCAGCCACCAGTCACATGGAGCGGAGGCTTACCCGTTGCTATGATGTTGAACAGGTTTCAGCACAGGTTCCAGGTTAGAGCATACTGGAAAGAAACCAGCCCTTGAAAACCTATCAACAGCAATGGTCCAATATGCAATGGTTCACACAGATGGCTAAGGCCTAGGCCCATTTCATAACAGTGTGGATGGGATTACGATGAGTCAGAAGCCAGTCAACTGCAGCAAACAATAAACAACGGATCACCACCCTTAAACCAGACAACATGGTGAGCACATTATATATTCTCTTACTTAATCCCCAAGCTCATCCCACAAAATGTGGGCGTCACTATTTCCAATGAGGCTGGGAGAGAAGGAGGAACTTGGTAAAGTGTATTGATAGAACGAAGATTTGAATTCATATTTGAGTTCTTCAGCATGACAGTCCTAAGAGATTATGATTGAACCGCTCAGGTACCAGCTGCCGTAGAGCAGCACCGTAAAGTAGAAAGAAGTGCTTCAAGTAGATGCAACGGCAGTTGTTCCAGACTAGGAAGAAAGACATCCCCCATCAAGAGTGAAAATGACCTCTTTGTTAGTAATGAAAAAGACATTTTCCCACATGGCCGACCCCACTATGAGACACGACAACCCTCACTGACCCATAGCCCTACAGGAGTGGGGGAATTGAGCCCGATGTGACCCCACCACACCGAGGCAAAATACCAAGGGAGTACAACAGAACAGCAAAGGGAACAGAGCAAGGACGTCCCCAGGGAATACCAAAAATAGACTTTGGGGACAGACTCGACTGGAAAACACTCCTAAAGGCCAACAAACAGTCCTTGAACTAACTACAAGCTTTTCTTTTTTGGTTGTTATTGTGTTGTAGTTTTGTTTTGTCATTGGCTTTTTTGTTGTTGTT